AGTGTATGATTTTTCAGATTGATCACCATCCATAGCTGATATTGGCTTTGAATGATCAGAGTATGAGTTGTCAGCCTCATCAGTTGGCACCCCTTCCTCACTGAATGATTCATGATCTTGTTTAGTGTATGATTTTTCAGATTGATCACCATCCATAGCTGATATTGGTTTTGATATCCTGCTGTCATCTGTAACCGAAATCGATCCTGAATGCTCGTTGTTCTCGTTGTTGAGTGAATCGGGTGTCGAATGTTCCATGTTTGTTCTTGATATTGGAAGCGCGGTGATTGAATTGTCGGCGTATTCTTTTAAGGATTTTGTGAAATTTTCACTTTTTGATGCCTCACTGCGGTCGTCAAATGATTTGGATCCTGCATGCTCAAAGTATGGCGATTCATCAACAAATGAAGTTCCCTCAAAAATTTGAGCACCCGTGAAATCTTTATTTTCAACTTGAGCGCCAGTGAAATATTCATTTTCAGTTCCAGATAGTTCTGTATTTCTACTGGTTTCACTACTTTTGCTCTTACTTTCTCCCAAAGACCCCCTTTGAAGGGAATTGTGCGATTCTTCCTCTTTTGCAAAGTGGTTATGATTAGTAAAGGTGTAGTCGAAAGCATTTTCACTTTCAACAATATGTGATTCTTGATCGTTTTCTAATTCTAACATGTCGCTTGCGGTCATCTCGTTTCGGTCGTCGATTTTAGAATAATTTGTCACATCAATATCCATCGATGAGTTGCTACCGTCTTTTATTTCTTCGCGTTTCATTTCTTGCGAAGAATTTTCTGAATTACCAACTCCCAGAATTGGCTGCATCGTCATACTTTTGGAAGACTGTGCACCAGAATACCCGGAACGCACACTGGAACGAAAGCTTGTCTCGGAATCGTATTTTGAGTGAGACACTTCATCACAATAACTTGATCGCTCACTGGAATGATAGCTATTGGCAAGATCGTATTTCGATTGTGATTCATCATCAAAAGCACTGGATTGCTCACTGGAATGAAAACTGTTACCAGAGTTGTATTGGTTCGATTTCGAACCTCCATTAGAATAACTAGATCGCTCAACAGAACGAAAACTATGGCCAGTACTGAATTGCTTCGATCGTGGCTCTCCATCAGTATATTCGGATCGCTCACTCGAATAATATGACCCGTCGTCGGAATAGTATGATTCATCTTCCGAATACCGTGATCTAAGTTTGGAAGAACAAGATTCCTCTCCTTCACCTATTGTCGCTGTATTCATAGACAATTTCCCATTAGTGTCGTTTGCCGAGTTCCTTCCGATTTTTCTGAAATTCCGGTTTTGTATTTCTCCCCGAGAGTCGTAACTAGAATTGCCAGATTCCCTACTGTCATCACTACTGTAATATTCTTCGCTCTCGCTATCAACTTCTGGCGATGCCTGTTGCCGACTGTCCCCATTAAAAGCCCCTCCTGGATTGGCTGTCCCATCCTCTCGTTTCTCTTGGTCATCGAACTCCCCCGACTCCGACGAAGATGCCATTATTGTCTCTAGCTAGCAAATGACTACCTATCGTCTTCTGAATTGTTAGCCTATTGATAATCAAGTTCAAGATTCCATTACGTCTCTTCGCTTCATTTATCACGCTATCACTCTTAACTTCAAGGTTATCTTTCGCTAGAGATCTCCTCTTCGCGAAATTGCATAAGAGAAGGGTACCAACTCTAGCAGTATGACGGTAGGTCGTTGTTAACAAGTTAACGAAATTTCTGCGTTGGGTCTCGAGTTTTTATGCGTTGACGATTGATGTTCGCACAAGAAGAGTTTTTTTTGTGCCGTTACGTCTCGTCGTTTCGAAATAAGACTCAATTGAGGAAGAAACAAAGTGTTTTTAAGTAAGAAATAATATGCTAGGGGCTGTAAAGTCATACGTATTTGCACCGATAAAGTATTATCGTCATAGTTCGTTGTATTTTTTATGCTAAAAAGTCTACTACAGTACGTATTAGAAGTACGGTACCTTGGAAAAAGTGATTCTATGAAGCTAAGTGACGAGTACAGTACGGCATGTATCAGCAAATCTGAAATTCATTGTCTACAACACAATCGATGTGATCGAAATACTTGGCTTTCTTTACAAGTACATATTCATGAGGTGAGGCAGATGATTGGACTTTTCCTTCTTGATCTCTCCGTATTCATCATTCCATTCCCAAACTCTGGCAAGCTCTCGCCCCTTTTCCGATACACTACGCTTCAGCTTGCTCAACGCAGTATCGAAATCGTTCACTGTCACCGGACGCAATCTTTGCAACGATCCCTCTGTTACGTCCTCTGGGACATCTACAAAACCTTTGTCCAGTAGTCGCGCTTGTTCGTGACTAATTTGAACAACTGCTTCTCTGCAGACCTCTTTGATATCAGATCCAGTGTACCCCTCGAGGCGCTCGGCAATCTGAGTCAAATTCACAGACGGATCAAGCCGATTTTCTGCTAGTGTCACTTCAAGAATTTCTGATCGCGTTTCTAAATCGGGAAGATCGACAAGAATTCGACGGGGGAAACGTCGGAGAACAGCTTCGTCAAGGTCGAACGGTCGGTTGGTTGAACCAATCACAACTACTCTATCACCACTGCCGTTTGTTCCAGAATTCAGACCGTCCCACTCACTCATCATTGTCGTTTTGACACTTGTTAAAGTCCCGTGTGCCGAATCATCAGAGCTACCCTCGCGACTTGAGAGTAAACTGTCAACTTCATCAATAAATACAACGCAAGGCGCTAGCCTTCTAGCCAATGTAAACACAGCCTTGGCGTTCTTTTCTGACTCACCAAGCCATTTATTCTCGACTGAAGAAGCATCGACACTAAGAAAACTTGCACCTCCTTCAGTCGCTACCGCCTTCGCAAGCATTGTTTTCCCTGTTCCTGGTGGCCCGAACAAAAGAACACCCTTAACTGCTTCTCTAGCAATGCCTTCACTGTAAAGGTGAGGGAATTTTAGAGGGTAAGTAATACTCTGGCGAAGTAGCTCCTTCACGTTGGACAAACCACCAACCATGTCGTATGTAACGCCAATGTCTTGAGGTGAGACCACTTGAGAAACGAGTGCTCGTTCATGCTTGTCTTGGGCGAGAGCCATGATTTCATCTTTTGTTCGATGCGAAGCTTGAGCACTAGAAAGCGAAAGACCACCGGAGGGTGATGGGCTTAAGTGGCACTTCATGGAGAGGGCACTTTCAAGACTTGACGGGTGGATATATTGGACACTTGGAGTCTTGTTATTCATGCCGTTCACTGAAAGTGAGTCGACAGTTTCATCCTTAGACTCAACAGACCCATCTTCTGTTACCAGCAGCTGACTCAGCGAAATATCCACATCCAACGCCAATTCTTTTTCATGGGTCTGGTCCGAAGTTTCGCTTTGACGTAAAGACTTCGCTGCTTCTAGTTCTACTGCACATTTTACCGCATCCACAATTTCAGCAGAAATGTCGCGCACACTCATCATTTGTCGCAAAGCCGAACCTGCTCCCCGGGTACCCGTATGCTGTTCTATTGCAAGATTTCGAGAGGTCAATTCTTCGTTCAAAAACTTTCTATTCTGACGAAAAATCACTGCTCCGCGTTCACGAGTAATCCAATGGTTCCAAGACTTCGCTCGGACTGGATCCTGTGGCAAACCGACAGGAATTGGACGGCATATGGATTCGAGTTTTGCCAGGTTTCTTCCCGCCTTATTTTCAGAAGACTTGTCTTTACCCTTTGGATGTTTTGCCTTGCTTGCAGCCATCACGGCTGCTGCTGCTGCCATCGTCCTAACTCTTTTTTGCCTATTCTTTTGATCAGAATCCTCGTTGTTGCCATCTGAGTTTGCCTCTTGATTGCTCAAGATTTTTTGGAACCACCCTCCCATGTTGTTTTGTTGGTTGGCTTGGCGGCCCTGTGTCCCATTCTGTGGTCCCGGGAGCTGTCCTCTATTCATGTGGTGTGGGGGTGGTGGCACGTAGACGCTCAACATGACACCCTGGCATTTGGGATCGGACAAAGCAGGTGCAGCGCGTGCTAGATTCTCTGCAATACCACGTCTTAGATTTTCACTTCGAAGAACTTGTGCAAAAGCTTTCTGCAAGTCCGGAGAAATTTCCGATTGATTGGGATTGCTTTCGTGTGACATTTTTGATATCCGGTCCAACAGCTCTGACATTGCTTGTTGCAATACTTGTTCGACGACTTCGGGTGGCGGTGAAATCGATGATTGCTCCCCATCTTCATCTTCACTGGTATAAGCCAAACTAGCATTGAAAAACTGCGGAGGGGGGATGACTGCATCTTTACCGGCATTGGTTTCCATGTGCTCCTGCAACATGTGAGCCCACTTCTCTAGTTCGGCTCGGGCAGGAGAGTCTTCGTCTTCGTGTTGAAGGCGTTCGCGTGCCTGGATTGCCATCATATGAGGAAAAAGATTTCCTGCCTGTGGTGAAGCGATGGCCCCAAGAATTCCAGGCTGTTGATTTTGATCTATGGTTCGAGACAAAAATATGTTGAATCTTTGAGATCCCTCTGGATCGTTTTGACCCGAAGCGTTTGGATTTTGGTTGGAAAACCCGAAAAACGGCGTAGAGTTCTCGGTATCTCCGAGCGTGTTCTCTTCTTGGTCTTGAGAATTTTCAAATTCTTCCGTTGGAAGAGAAGAAGTCGTTGCATCTATTCCTTTACCGAGAGTTACGAGGTGAATGCTGTCGTTTGAAGCACATTCATTGATCAGTAATTCCATTGCCGATTTCGACTTCAGCAGATTTGTCGACGTGTTTGTACGGATGAAAATAAGCAAGGGTAGTGGTTTTTTCGACGGCTTCAAAGACGAGCTACCTTGTAGTTCCTTCCTCCATTCTTTCTCCCACATGGACATGTCGTCGCAACTTATGATCGCGCGTTCATCGTATGGATCATCAAGGCCAAGCAAAATATCGCGCTTCATACAAGCAGAAATGGATCCAGAATTCTCGCCTTCTTTCAGCTCCCCTTGACTTGCCAAGGACAACAGTGATTTGATCAAAGCCGCAGGCTTCATCTCCCCGTCTGACAAGCCACAGTTTGCCATTTGATGTCGTACCTTATTGATGACATGATCATCTAAAATCAACATCCCACAACCTAACGAATGAGCCTGAAATTAAACCGCCATATCAATTTAGATCAATAAACGAGATAAATACATAAGATTGTCCGTGAGCGACGTATCCAATAGTGTGTCTATCGATCGCAGGGTAGAGTAGATACGTTCTGGTATCAAATAAAAGAGAACAACTTACGAGTGCCATAGCAACAGTTTCTTGCATTCCCAGTGTCGATCCTTTCGTGCTTTCGGCGTCTTGATAGAGGCGAATCCCACTAGTTCGAGGTGCAGATTGTCGCCAAGTTGGTTGTGTAGCTATAGAAAGAGCCGCCTGGAGAGCCTGGGAGGAAGATGCGGGTAGAAACTTGCGTGTACTACTTGACAGTTTGGTGTTCGTAGCACCCCATTCCAGTAGCAGTCCGGCATATAGAGTGCGGCGATCTAGACGACTTTTTGACGAGGCATCCAGAATGCGGGCATTGTTCGAAAGGAAATCCAATCCCGATCGTGTGGGCGGAAAGTAAACGAATGGATTCCATGCACTTAGTAGTCTAGCCTGATCGTATGAAGGTTTCGCGGGGGACGATTTTCGACGGCTGTTCTTCCGCCGGTTTGCAATGCGACCTAGCCGAACGCCGACACCGCCCCCGCCTTTTGCTGCGATAGAGCCACTTCGAGAAGAGCCACTATCGACTTCTTGTTCTTCGTCCAAAATCTCTTCTTCCTCGACCAATTCAACCTTCACTTCCACCTGTGGTTCAAAAACATCGTTCGCAAACTGATCGTACGTCTCTTCGATCTCCTCCCATTCTTCACTAAACTCAGATAGTGAATCCAGGTCGTCGTCGGTATCATCGTCGTCGTCGTCATCGTCACTTCCATCTGGATCGCCGACACCATTTGATTTTTTATGAGATTTTACGCCCACAACAGAAGATTCTGCATTTTCTGCCCCCTTATTCCCTTTCGACGATGAATCCTTATTGTGAATTGTCACAGATGAACTACTCGACGATTTATTCGAGCTTTCTCCGGATGGATTCGAATCCGCATCGCTTTCAGGGATATTATCGACCTGATCTTGACCGGCATCGCGCTCCTTCATTGCAGCCACGTATTCTTCGACTTTGGCGTCGTTGCTGTTATTGTTTCCAATGTTGTATCGATTGTAGTCTTTTTCTTTCTTTCCCTTTCTTTCTGCTTCGTTCGAATCGCAATCATCTTCGGTGTTTGCGGTTGGATCGTCCCGATTGCTGCTACCAAAAGCTCCGGCTCTCCATCGAATGAAGGATGGAGGAACAACTCGTTTCGTGGAAGCAGCAGATGATATTGTGGTGGCGGAGACACTTAAGAGTGGATCATTCCGAGCAACGACAAGAATCGAATAGATAAGGCAAGTGTATGCCAGAGAAGCCGAAAAAGGACAGCTTTGATTCCGTCGTTTCCCCTTCATTATTTCGGTTTGCCGCTGGCGGAGGCCGTGCTGGGATTTTCCGGCCTCGTTTCCTCTCAGATTCTAGACGTTTCAGACGCAGCTTTATTGTTTTACTCTTAGATCAATGTTACCGTTTCCTTCGTGTCTTATCCAATTCAAAGTGGTGGCATTGACATGTTGTCGAATGAGAACAAAATGTTGTCGCATGTGAGTACTCGTACTAGGACTCGTACGACGATTATCTTCGAGGGTGCCAGTAATTCTAAGGTACGTACGGTAGGGTACGTACTCCCATGTACCGTGCACTCGACGAAATAAGTCGATCAATTCCGAAGGATTTTGCTGGAACTTCTTCGTTCATAGAACAGAACTTGATGAGAGGCCGGATGAAGAACTAATGTAGCCTCAAAAAGTCTGTTTCTCTTTGATCTTTCACCGATTCACACCATTCGTGACTTGCCTTGAGAGCCACAACGCAAAAGCCACGCGTCGTTTATGAATACCACGACTGACGGACGGGGAACAGACATCTTACCCAAGAACTTCTGACGTACGGTACAATGGCCGATGACTACGACCCGGTACGAATACAATTACTAATATTTTTTTCGCCTCATCGTAAAAAATAATTGTAAACGTGTACACCAAACACCAAGCGTTGTGAGGTCGTACTACGAGTACTCGTACCTTACACCGAGTATGATATCGTACGTTTCATTAAGAGAAACTGGTGATTTTCGTAAATGACTTATCACAAACGACGTTTTCTGTACCGTAGGACCCGACAACGAGTTAAGCTCTCCGTTCTATTTCAGTCGTCGTTTGCAAAACTTTTTGACAAAGCACTTAGGACTACCCTACAAATTTAGTATCCAGAATGAAGCTCGTTTCAATTTTGATTGCATCCTTGGTCGCAGCCGCCTCTGCTGCCAACGAGAGCAAAGAATGCGAAGGTGAGCGGCTACATTCCGATAGGCGAGAACAAGCTGTTAGTGTCGTCCGAGACGGGGTCATCTGTGTAATGCATTCCGAATTCCATTTGGGCTCAACCATGTTTTGTATTTTCTTGCTTCCCAAACCATGCGGTCCGTGTTTTTTTTTCTTGATGACGGTGCTTCTTTTCAGTGTGCGTGAAGGTGATGGATGACATCCGAGCGACTATGTCGAAGGCCGATTCCAGAAAGAAGCCGATGATTGAGGGTGCCATGGCAAAGTATTGCGCAAACGAGGACGAAAAGCTATCCGCGAGGGAGCGAAAAATCTGTTACTACATCGACCCTATCCGACGCGATGTAGCGCAGCCATTTTCCCTGGGAATGTCCTCGCTCAAGGTATGCCAGCGAATCACAAAGACAAACCCCGAAATTTGCACCGTCAAATTCCCCGTCAAAACCGATAAAATGGAAAAGAAGGACCTTTCGAAGTTGCGAGTGAAACAACTTAAGAAAATCCTGGATGAGAGAGGAGTAGATTACTCAGGTCTCCTCGAAAAGGAAGAATTTATCAAAAAGATCCAATCCACCGAGCACTTGGCTGGAGACGAATTTTAAGGAAGAGTCAAGTTCTAGCAGGAATGAATCATAGCATATTCTCTCTATTGCAGTTAATCGACTGTTTTTTCACCGAGATTCGGCGGTGTAACCGTCATGGACAGGCTAGTTCGGATGTGCTACTTTGTGGTTTCCTACCGTTTTCGTTTAGTTTTATTCTTGCCGCGTCGTCTACTTGTCGAGGAACCACCTCTCCTTCTTTTAAAGCTTTCCGGATCGAGGAAAGTCGGTGATTGAGGCGTTTCGGGTGGGCTTGGTGTCATCTTAACTCCTAGGTTTGCAGCTTTCATGTCTGCCTCGGATCCCTGTGCCATGAATTTCTCCTTCTCCGTTGTTAGCTTATGGGATGCAACTTCCTTTACTCGTTCTTCCCGTAGTTCGTCCATCATCCGATCTTCCAATTCACTCATCGGAGCCGAAATTCCGTGCATGTATTGCCCTCCCCAAGCCGCCGACGCCTGCTGCATCGAGAGCTTGGGCACTTTGGACACTTCAGCCGGTGCCTCGTCGTCGAGTACCGGAGGCGGTAAATCACTCCCACGAATAGTGCTCGGCCGGTTGGTTCCAGGAAACGAGGTCTCGAATCCCACCGCCAGGACGTTGCGTCCGAGCACCGGGCCGTCCCCGCGGATCTCCCTTGCCTTTTGCTCCAGCTTTTTGAATTCCATGAATTCTTTCGCGAACTTGGGTTCGGTAGGCGGGTTCCCCATCGCCGGCAGGTTTACCCACCCACGCATCGTGTCGTTGCGGAGCGCGGCGCCCTGAAACAGGGTCCACGTAAAGGACGATACTAGATATATCTGCAGGCCGGCCGGGGACTGGGCCGAGAAACAAGGCATGAAGACCGCAAGCGTCTGGAAGAGATCTTTCAGCAACCCGGCAAAATCGGACTTGCTCGCAGAGGGTCCACTGAGGCTTCTCTTCCCGATTGCCACCTCGACGTTGAAATAAAGCATGGCCCCGGCCGCAATGGGAAGACCGAACCATGGGTCAGGATCGGTCAGATCGGGGACCCACAGAAAGCTGCTCTCCGTTAATTCCTGGGCGAGCTCCGGATCGGATCCGTTTACAATCTTTCTCAGATCTGTTGCCACGTAGTAAAAGAAGGGGATCTGGAGGAACGGGCTCAAAAAGACCGTAAGGGGATTGATGTTGTGGAGCTTGTATATGCTGCGAACCGTTTCCAGGTTTTGCAAAAACAGATTCCTCTGCTCGAACAACGACTTGCCCTCGGCTTTCATCTTTTTCAGATCATTCTGAAAGAGCGTCACGATGAACTGGATTTCGGGAGCCACCTTGGCGTATCGGGCCGCGGTGTGCGCGCCGTAGACCACGAGGGGCAGGAGGGACGCCCGGAGCATAAAGTTCATGGCCGAGAACGAGGTCCAGTACGGGAGTCCCGCGGTGTGGAGCGACTTGAGCACGACGCCCGTTCCTCCCCAGACCGAGAAATCTTGGACAAACTCCGGGGCCCACGAGGCTATCGACCGGGCCTGGATCGAATGGTTTGGGCGAGGAAAATGCAGAGTGGTTGGTCCGTTCCTTCCAGTATGCAACGGAGCATGTTCCCTCTTGTTTCCCACAAAGGAAAAACCGGAGTGGATCGGAACACGAGAAGAATCCTGTAGACGCCGTCGATTGTGTCGATCATCGATTTGGTTTGTCAGTTGTGCAGCGATGTGTCGAAACAGTCTCAGTTTGCTTTGCCGTTGCCTGGTATTGCTAAAGACCAGAGCTCCCCTTCCCACTTGGTACTTCATGGCATACGTTACTCTCTATCGACTTTGGATTGCATTACCCTCGTCGATTTTGGAGACGAAACCGAAAGTTTCGCGACAAATATCATTTGTGAGGAAGAGCCTCCCGCAGTTGATTTATTGATTTACTACGGTACAAGTTACTCGTACCGTCAACGACAGGTAAATTCTTCAGTCGTCGTACCTTACTCATCATCACACGCAAGAAAAAAGCGCTTCGAAAAGCTACTGAAGACCATTAAGGATAGGGTATAGTGTGTACCCCCACGATGCATAGAAATCATTCGAACTACCGTACGGTACGGTACAAGTACTCGTACTTCTCGTGGTTGTACTTCAAAGGAGAAGAACTTCTACTAGTAGTACTAAAGAAGAGGAGGAGGAAAAGCAATCAAATCAACATCAAGAACAAGGGTTTTTTTGTTCTTCTTGTTGTTCTTTTTTGTTGTAGCTACTACTAGTAGTAGTACCTTGCATACGACTGTATTAGCAATACCAGCACCTACTACTACTACAATTTGGTGCTGATGATGGTGATGCTAGTAGTACTATCTTTGCTAGCAGTGTTGGTGCGGTGGTGATATTATTATTACTAGTAGTACGGGTACTAATAGTACTACTGGTAGTGGCAGCAGCAGCAGTATTACGACGGTGAAGTTCTTTTCCTACGTTTATCAGTATGAGTACCTCTAACGTATGGTTAGAGCTCGTACTTGTAAAGGTAGTCTTGTAGAATGTTCCTTGGTGTAATCTTCGTCGTCACCAACGAGACACTCGGCTTGTTCAAATATCTTACGGTACGCAAATTCTCATAACAAAGATAGTGATAGAAGAACGAAATGCACGAGGTTGCCACGGAGAGAGCCTCAACAGCCACCGTATTCTGATGATTGTGGCAGACTACGATTGGAAAAGGCTTCGTGACCACCATTCTGCTGCAAACTTGGTGCGTTTAAAATACTAGTGTACTACTATGAACTAGGAGATGCGCGCACGGCTACCACGAACAGATCCGGTCCAAAACGAGAAGGAACGAATCAACAATCCTGTGGTCCTGCTTCCAATGAATTCGCTCCCGTCGTCTCGAATCACGCTTCTACCTCCATGGCCGTGTCCGAGGACGACGCCGAGACCGTCATCCCGATGCCGGACGTCGTCGGGTGGGGGGTGACGACGGTCTCTCCCAGCGTCGGGGTCACACCCGGCTGCATGGTCAGCAGGGCCGAGTGGTGGACCTGGTCGCGGAGGGGCTTGATCTCGTTCGGCGTCACGTCGTTGCGTCGGTAGTCCACGGTCCCGTCGGTGCGAATGACGCAGACGTCGCAGTTCGAACCCGATCCGAGGTCGTTGAAAATCCCCGCCCCGATCGCGCGCTGGACCAGCTTCACGGCCTCGGCCTCGTCCATCTCCTCCCTCCAGGACGACTCGAAGATCGCCATCGCGGCCAGGCTTCCGGACCCCATGGTTGTGTAGTTGAGCTTGGCGGTGCTTCCGTGGGGGGCGATCTGGTAGATCGAGGGCCCGTTGATGTCGCAGCCCCCCAGGACCAGCGCGGCGCTGATGTGTCCCTGGTACTGGAAGAGTCTTCGTTTCAGCAGGGTGCACGCCGTAACGACGCGCGACTGCGAGTGGGTGTTCATGCGGAGGAGCTCTAGCTGGCTGGAGATGAGCTGCGTGATCATCTCCGTGTCGGCGGCGGTTCCGGCTCCGCAGCAGTACATGTTGGGGGTCAGATAGTGGATCTTTTCGCAGTTTTTTTCGGCAACCTCCGAGCCGCTCGTGGCCCGGGTGTCGGCCCCTAGAACGACACCGCCGTTGTACACCACACCACAGATAGTGGTTCCGGTCTTCTTCGCGGCGGGGAAGTTCTCCGACCCTCCCAGGGTCATCATGTGCTGGTTGCGGAGGGTGTTCTCGAAGGAAAACCCGGAGACGGGGGGCCCGCCGGATAACGTATCATTGGAACTGGTGAGCTCGGACATGTTTTTGATTTGTGACTACGAATCGCTTTTTCTAACTGGTGTTGCCGGTTTGGCGCTGTGAGGGGTCTCTGTGTTTGTTGATGGAGCGAGATGATAATCGATTGGTCGTCGGGTTGGCCTAGTGGGTGCAACGTTGCCTTGTTTGTTGCCCGTCGTCGTTGTTGTTGGTCTGGGTGTGAGGTATTTTTGGTTTTCGTTTGGTGTTTTGGTGCAGTCCGCCGTCTTGTCGGATTCGTACCGTACTGCGTCGTACAGTACGGTACCGTACGCTAAGAGAGAGACGCCGTCAAATCCTTCGATCTGCATCGACCCGAATCGATCGCAGTCGTGGAAAAGGGTGAATTCAAAAGGGGGTCATTTTTGCCTCCGCTTGGATCTGCCGTCTCCCCCTCATGAGTCGGTCGACGCATTTTTTGTATTCTTTCCTCGTACAGTACAGTACGGTACTTTACGATACGATACGACTTACGACTATTGGTACGTAATAGTACTAGTGCCGCGGCATAGTGCTTACCATTAGATACAAGATACTTACATAGCACTCTTATCCGATGAAAACCAACAAGAAGCATATGGTTGCTTTTGTATCAAGAAGACGGAACGGTTTGAAATCTGAATAAGAGGGCAGCAGTAGTTCTAGAATTATTTTATAGTGGTAATACTGGCTGGTAGTGCCAACTGTAAGAGTAGTAGGACGATGTTGGTGCCACACCAGAAGGGTCACCGCACTACTAGCACTTAATCGGTGTACTTCTCTATTTCATTCACTAGGGAATGAAGGCCGCGTGCTACGCGTCTGGTAGCTATGGAACTGGGGAACAGAGAACACATAGCAGCAGTAATTTCAGCAGCTGCAAAATACTAGTGTGACGATTGAAGGAGTACAATAATGCTTCGACCGCAGATGATCCACCTTCAGCAATCAAAGGGGAAAAAGTTCAACAGTGTTGAGTTATGAACACTTCTTACTAGTACCCGTAGGAAGAGCGGAGCTTGTCTAATTTCACTCCTGCAATCTGCTGGGCGGATCTGGTTGCACCCCGCAATCAACACCATCAACGCCAACAACAAGACTAAGCACAATACGAAAGAAGGGAGAAAGAATCTAGATCGATGGACATGTCCAAAGGGGAAATGCGAGGGACAAAATGCTGCCCTCTTTTTCAGAACACAATAAGTACCGGTTGGTTTTTCGTAGCTTGCGAGTGTAAAAACACCCGCACCAAACGAAACGGAAACTCGTCGAGAAACAGAAAAAAATATCCAAAGTTATGTTACCACTGCCTTTTGCCACACACTGACTCGTTGCTCGAGAAAAACTATTGCTCGCTGTCTGGTAGCGATCTCTGTGGCTGGAAAGGAGGAACAGGATCGAGCAATTTTGAGACATTCATCCTGCTACTGATTGCAATCGTCGAGGTAATATACCGGCACGCCAATCAAGTCTGAAAACAATAAATATGTAGGATTCAACGAAACAAAGATGAGTACATTTCTATTCTTTGTCATGAAACTGTCCAGCTTTCATCAAACGGGAAAAATCATAGATTGTAGTATTTGTTCGGCATACTGCAGGCATCTCTCAGATATGGGTTGGTGATAAGGTCCGTTACGACCATGGTCCACAACGTGTGTAGTTATTTACAGCAGCCGAGATCCAGGTTGCGATTCCTTTCGGAACCGTAAAACCGCATTTCGCAATGCGGGGACTCGACCATTCGGGAACTCTTTCGATCATCACAGAGAATCTGCACGGTATGTTGTGGTACTAAGAGCGAGCGACGAAAGCAACATCCGTCGGCAAAAATCTTACCTGTCTCGCGCACATTCGTCGAAAGGATTCGGTGCGTCGCTCCCGGCGGTTTCGTTTTGTCCCTCGAAACCACCGCGGATCAATCGCGCATGGCTTCGTCTGGCGCGTTTCCGCCGTCGTCGTCCTCCACCTGGTTCTCGGAGGCCTTGATGTACAAGACGTTGTTGCACCGCACCAACACTTCCCCGAGGGCACCCGCCAGCTCCCCATCGATGTATTCTTCGGTGTTGAGCAGCTGTAGATTCATGTATGCGTCGCTGCTCGCAAGTTTCCCTTCGTACTCCATTCCCCACTTCAGTCGGACCCTGACTATTTTCCCGGTCAAGTCCGCAAGAAACGGCTTTGGATTGACGATAAATTGTGCCTAGAATTCCGAGTCAATGATGGATGTGGAGACAATAGAGCAATTTCAGAAACATGGATCTATTCAACGAAAGGATTGTGCCTGTATAAAATACGATAATGACAGCGGCAACAGCAAAATGGAAAAGGTGCACGCACATCACCATAGACCTCACATAATTACTCGGCTTCCATTAGGAATCTCTGCTCGAACAGGTGTATCGATGGCAAACATCAATAGTACTTTGCTAATTCGAACTCACCATTGTACTTCTTGCAATCTAGAGGACAATTACCACGAATCAGGTTGCATCCTTTATTCTACCACCGCAAAGTAAAAAATACTGTTCAGCGTTCAGCGTTTAGCGTTTAGCAGATCGTAAGTAGATTGTTGTCGCGTTTTTAGCTCCAAGGCACAAACTACCTGTACTCGTACGAGTACTCATACGAGTACCGTACGAGTAATCGTACGCAATTTTGTTCAGGGGTGCCCTGGTTTTGTTGTTTTGCTGTATTCAGTGATACGCCTCCCCGAGGTCGGTGGAGTGCTTCAGATTTCGACTTTTCGGCTGAAGGACAGAACAAAAATATTGATCGTACTAGTCGATGATATTATGACGGGTTGGGCAAGCTCAGACTTATGACCCTTGTGTTGGTCTTTCGTAGTTGGATCGTGGATCGTACGGTAGATAAGAACGAACCGATATGAGTGTGAGAGACAGAATTGCACCGCACTGAATGTACTACCATTTCGTACGGGTACGTACTGTGACCTACAGTAGTAGATTCCATTCCATTATTGCCTTGCGCGACGAAAACACTTCTTGCTTTGTCCTAAATTCGGACGAGTATCGAACGGTACCGGTACAATCGAACTGAACTTCTAACCGTTGTAAGTTGTACTACTGATACTGTAGGGAAATGGAATACGTACGTAGACGGTAGAATAATACGGTACGTTATGAATCAATCAAATCTAATCTTGATTGAACAAGAAATTTGTTTTCAAGACAGAACCAAGACAGCCGAGTAGAGGTTTCGATTATTTTCCCATTCATCATCTGTCATCTGTTACGCTGCGAGGTCGCGTAAGAAGTCATAAACCCTTTTGGTCTTTTCTAACAGTACTACAAGCAAGTACGTACAGTAAGATACAGTACGAACTTACAGTAACTGTACCCGTACCGGTTGGTCGGAACAACATGATGATTGTTTTCACAGGGAAAAACTCAGAACTCGAAAACTTCTCACGCTGTTTTCGAGGAAAAATCCGAACCACCATACGGTAGGAAACTTCTTACGCGACGTGTCTATTCTTTCACTTCATGTTGTTTTCTGTTCCTCACAAAAACGAAAAACATTCCACCCAATACTGATACATTTCAAGATCAAAAGAGCCACTCGCTCCTGAAGAAATTGATACACCACCATGCGCATGCCCGTCCCCTCTTACAGTACTTCGCCGCACCATTCTTACAATGCTCCACAACGAAAGCTGAACAGGTCTACCTTCTGCAAAGACATAAATCAGAGCATTTGCAACATTGATCGCACTGCCAGTGAGAACAGCATCAATCCTCGCTTGCAATTCGGTCCGCGAGTAACCTACAATCCAAGCAAGTCTTCCACCATCGATCGCAGTGTCAGTGAGAACAATATCAGTCCTCGCGGACGTTTTGGTCCGCGAGTGACATACAAGCCACGGAAGCCGGTTGAAGAAACAAGACCAGAATGCTTACGAATGTTTCATGAAACCATGCCGGAAACCAAATACCTAGATTCCGAAGAAGAATGCAGGTTGGCTGCCTCCGTATATGGATTCGGCGAAGCACTAGAATCCGAGGAGTCGTCACCTGAGGATGAAAAAAAAGAAAAGAAGAAGTCATCATCCAAGAAATCAAAAAAGAATGATCGTGGGAACAAAGAAGGTATCAAAAAAGAGAAATCTGATAAATCGAAAAAGAAGTCATCATCCAAGAACAGCAAAAAGAAGGACGATAGGAAAAGCAAAAGTGCCAAAAAGTCCTCTAGCAAGAAATCGAAGAAGAAGGATCGCAAGGACAGCGAAAAGCAATAGATGCTTAATTTTTTTCTGACTCATTGATTAAGTGCGAGGACCACATCCTCTTCCTCTGACATACTGAATTTTGCCAATCCATTCCACAGCAGTTCCTTGACCTAACTAGTAGACAAGCATACTAAACACAATGTTTGCACTACTAGTATCTATATAATCAAAAGGACGTTGTTGATACCAAACCACATCAAAGTACCACACATAGCTCCCCAATATTTAAATTTGAGTAGAAACAGATCAGAATAATACTATGTACAAATGATAATATTGGGCATTAGGTGTCTTGTTTGTTGTTGTGTCTTCTCACTTAAATCCTTTCTCAGCTCTACTATTGCTAAAATCAACGCTACTAGCTAGTTTTTCTATTTTCTTGAGTTTAAGGGCAGGGATGTACTGCTACTAGTGGGGGCACACCAATAGTCATTTTTGTATCACAAACCCTGGAGGATTGATTTTATGAAGATGAAAATTTGAAAAGATTGCCAAAATGTAGTAGAAGTACTAGTAGTAGTACTAGGAAATCCTGCAAAGATGACCAATTGATTTGCAACTGTTCATTGTGGTGGTGATTCCTTTCCTCTGTTTAATTTTTTGGTAGTAGTAGTATCATTATTTGTAGTAAAACTAGTTGTAGTAGTATTAGTAGTATTATGAGCACTACTACTACTAGTAGTACTACTACTACTAGAACAAGTACTAGTAGTACTACTACTAACAAGCAAGAAGAAGAAGAGCTCTTCCTGTTAGCTACACTGCTACTAGTACTACTACTAATAATACTATAGCAGAAAGAATTCTTCCGTTCCAACTATTTAGTAGTAGTACTAGTACTAGTTCTTGTAGTATTGATTCTTATTACACTGGATACTTTACTTCTTAATGAAGATCACTTGTTCGCCTCGCTTGGTTCTGTTGCCCTTGGTTTGCGTCACAATTGTTCTTTTATGCTAAAAATAAAAACGGAGTTGAGAGTGATGTCAAAAAGCGTCATGTTGACACAATATTTTTCTTTGTCACTTTGCTTGTGGTTTCCCGTAAATACGGTACTACGGCCACTCCTGAACTTCCAACATTAAACTTGTAACTCGACTTATTCTCACAACGACCAAGGGGAAATTCACGCATCCGTCCACCAATGGTTTCAACGGTATTGTTTGATGACGTTGACATGCTGTATTGATGCAGGTTACACGTTTATAATTCGAGGAAGAACATAACATTGCTATCGATATCTCTGCTGATTGTATCGTTTGTAAATCTTGATAAATCTTGACACCAGTACATAGTAGTATCATGCCTCCCACCCCTCGAGAAGTCGAACGCTTTGTCTCGGAAACAACCAGTTTCATTGTAAAGAGTAGAAGTAACAGTTGCAACGCTTTGAATGTAAAAAATCGCGATGAACTTCAATTGTGTCCCTTTCAACAGAAACAATCTGCTGAGTCTCAAAAGATAGGCAAAGGATTCGGGCGAGTAGCATTTCCGCAAAAACGAATTTCAAGTCTGCTCTTTTCGGGAACTTTACTGACAGCAGTTTTTGCTGGAGTAATAACTTTCGGACCGAATTGGATAAGCGAGAGAGGAGTAGATAAATCAAGTGCTAATGGCAGCACCGTCCCATCGGGTGATCGGTTTCCCTTCTCGCTGCTCGATCCTATGAGTGACCTGGGCCTAGCTGAACATGTGCGTTCTCAAGAAGATCCCTCATTTCCAGTCTACTATTACGGCCATGATAGTAATCTAAAATCAAGTAGTGATCGGCCCGAGAAAGCATTACCCACCAATGCATGGTACCAGAATCTACTGCAGATGCAGCAAAACGATGAGCCATCGAATTTACATAGAGCATATCCCGGGCCATACCTCGTGGATATGGTGGGGATGATTCCTGGGTTACGTGTCCATGCCAACGACCTTGATGCAAGCGATATGGTAGTGCAGTTATCTTTTAATGAACGGTTTGGCCTCGTTTTGGGAGGGACAAACAGTATCCTATCAAGCAAAAATGAGGAAGGCAATGGCAGTACCTCAAGTCATAGTCATCGGTACAAAGTTTTGAAGACTACAGATCTTGGAGTTACATTGGAATGGGTGAGTCACCTTCAACAAACGATGTTTTCGATCTATCATTCGAACAGATTGATTTATTCTCAAACTCATACAATTTATCGTTGCCTCCATTTGTTCTTTCTCGTAAGCATGCTATGAAAATGGCATCAAATATTGTAAAGGGAATGTCATATGTTACGATGGAGTATGAAAAAATACAAGACAGCTCAAATAGTGTTCTCCTTCCAACAATCGCTGCTAGGTTGGAGTTGAGTGACTCGATCCTCATTGATGGGAAAGAAACCATACTAGATTGTTCGAAGAGACTTCGTATTGAAAGAGACATACAATTGTACTTTCAAGAAAGTGATTATTCATGGATGGCGTTTTTTTCAGAACCTGTATGGATCCAGTGCTCCGTCGGCAACGGCAACACATTAGTACAGGTTGCAAATTATGACGAAGACATAGTGGGTAATAATTGCTCTTTTCAATCGGATGTTTTGATTGTTAGGGTTGCACTTACTGACCAGTGTACAAATGGTTTTAACGCTGCATCGTGTCGACAAGGCAAGGGGCATCGGTTGAAAGATGAACCGTTGAAAGACGAGTACGTTTCTCTTCTCCGTGCACATGCTGATACATACCCCGGTAGTGATACATCTTTCACTTACATTATGCCCACCGAAGATGGTGACGACGAGGCAAAGTTGATTTTTGATTGGGATGCAAGGAGAATGTCAGATCTTTGTCAAAGAAATTCAACGACAAATGAAAATGATTTGCTTACATTTGCCATACCACACCAAATGGATCGTTTAGCACCAAATACCTTGCCAAATGGAAGGCGATATTGCAAGTCATCGCTGACTGGACCAACGTGTCTTGTCCAGGGAAATAAATGGGTAATTCCCCAAGAACTTCCAAAAATTAGCTTTAGAGCCAAGAGACATCCGAAACCACAGTATATCCCAACATTAGCAAAGGCTTTGTTGAATGATATCGAATTCAAAATCCCAGATTATTTCAAACGAGGAGCAGGAGACACCTACTTTAGTGGAAAAATTTTGGCAAAGCTTGCACGGATTCTCTTGATTTCCGAAGAGGTGGCCAGCCTTTGTGGTGAACAGGGGGGTCGTGACTACCTACAGTTTTGCAAAAATTCCACGCTTCCTACCGAAAAGCAAATTAAAATGGGAATTCAAGAACTTCGTGAAGGTGTGGAGGTCTGGATCAATGGCAAAGCAGACACGCCCTTCGTTTACGATAGAAGTTGGGGAGGAGTTGTGAGTTGTGGATGCTACATGGAAGGAACAGAATGTAGCAATAAATATCCCAACTGTCCTGGGTTTGTTGACCCTGGCCTTAACTTTGGAAATGGATTCTATAATGATCATCACTTCCATTACGGGTAAGCTGATGACACCAAGAATGTATTATCGCCTCTCATCGAAATCTAATAATTTCTCGAATTTTGGTTGCAATCCATTGTGTTTTTTAAGCTATCACATTTTTGCTGCATCAGTTGTTTCCCACTTTGACGAAGGCTGGGGGATGGACAACTTCGAACGTGTTCTCTTGCTCGTGCGCGACATTGCGAATCCTTCAGAAGGTGATTACTTTTTCCCGCTTTTTCGACACAAAGATTGGTACCAGGGCTCGTCATGGGCCAGTGGCATTCCGTATCCTCCTTATTTGAATGGAAAAAATCAAGAGTCCAGCAGCGAAGCTATTGCTGCCTATGAAGGTGTTGCACTCTTTGGACAAGTCATGAATAAAATTTGGGAAGAAAAGAAACACGAGAGATATGCCGCCGTGTCAAAACAAATAGCCAACGTGGGCAAACTAATGGCAGGAACAGAGTTGGTTTCTGCCAAGCGGTACTGGCACGTGACGGGACACAAAGATGATCAACTCATTTATCCTGAGCAATATAACAAGCCTGTAGTTGGTATTCTATGGCAAACCATGGCGCAGTTTGGCACCTGGTTCGGCGCAAAAGATTACCTACCAATCGGAATCCAACTGTTGCCGTTGACACCAATTTCCGAATATCGCGATGACATTGACTGGATGAACGCGATTTACCAGCTTTTCACGTACTCATGTGCTACMGATTTTGATTGTACTGAATCTGGTTGGTCGATCTTGCAGCTTGCTACTCTTGCAACTATTGGCTATGCTGCTGAAGCAGTCATGAAAGTGAAGGAACTCCCAGATGAATCTTTTGAAAATGCTGGAGGAAACGGTCAATCGCGATCAAACACAGTATGGTTTCTATCAACCAGAGCCGAAATCGAAAACAGGATTCCCATGGTGGAATATGATAAGAGGGGCAAAGAAGAAGTACGACCAAAGGCATTGTATGAACTGAAAGATTGCCACTTGCCTGCCACTTGTACTGAAGAAATTCTGGATCGAGAAGCGGGAGAATACACATGCAGGGTTCGAATTGCTTGGTTGATTCACGACAAGGGTCATCCGCAATGGGAAGCTTGTTGGAGGGTTGCCGGACTTGAGTTTCCCGATGTTTGCGGTCCATGTGACCCAGGTGTGAATTTCATATCAAAAGAACAGATCGAGAAAGAAAAGGAGTTTTACGAAGAGAATAAGAACCAGCAGCAGCAAGCTACGAATGAGTCCGCAGATGATTCTATCTCTCTCCAATGCCCTCCATGTACGCAGCAAGAATGCAACAGTGATTTGAATCGTTGTCCCGTTTACAAGCGAACGTTTGTGTGTACCGAAGGCACCAGCAAGGGTGGCTGCAGCGGAGGGCTCGAATTCTGGTTGCAAGAGGATCAATGCGATGCATGTTGCGAAATGACACGGTGTTTTGAATTGAAGGACAAAGAGGCCACCAAATTCACCAAAGATGGGAACGCGCTGACCACGAAGTCGTGCCCTCCATGCAAACCAGAAATTTGTTATGGAAAGCTGAACCGATGCCCTATCCATACCGCTCCTTACTTATGTACGAAAGGAACGAGTGTCGGGGGCTGTGCTTCTAGTCCTTGGGAAATTTCCGAGAACATATGCAGAGAATGCTGCGAGTTAAAGCTGGATTGCTAGCATAGGAATTGCTACACTAACGCAAATGTTCAGAAAGCATGTACTGATTCGCTTTGTAATGATATCAAGTACTCTTTATTTAGATTAATGGCCACGAGTAATGTCAGGCTGACCGAGCCCCGTCGCACAGTCCCGGCGAAGCAGACAAACTCTTTATCATAATATTGAGTATTAACCCCGAAGATTTCAGAGATGATGATGCCTGAGTCCGTCTACAAAAGGCGTCATTCAAGCGCAAGGTATACCGTAGGGCGATGGCCTTGAAATCGCATGAAAAAATCGTCACCCCTTGGATTTAATTCATCGACGATCATTGCTGAATCATTTTTAAATAGACTTGATATTATTTTCAACCTCGTGAACTAGAAGAGGCACTAGTTAAGAGCCTGAACCATAACCTCTGGGGAGAAGAATGCTTCTAGTCGCTCCGAGGGGCGATCTTTGCTGAATCACATTTCCATACTACTTCTAGTATATTGCGACAATACATAAGTAACTATGAAGTATATAAATTTCTCGATATGTATACCAAGGTAGACTACTGAACTAAGCCAGGGTCCACAGAAACCATCATGCGATTGTCTGGGCACGATGGAGCGTAGAAGATGGATGAAATAGTACGAAAGTAACGTGCTATGCTATATTCTCTACCAATTGTTCTATTCCAAGTCTGATGCTTTGTTCGCGAGGAGGTTATCGGGAGGGGGTGATTCCAGTCGTCGTGTCGGAATATTGGGACTCTTCGAATAGCGGGATGGCTTTCCTGGGGGGGCATTCGATTTACGACTCGGCTTTGCGGGTGGGCTTCTCGATCGGCGAGATGGTCGCCTGGGCATGCTCATGGATGATTGCTGTTGCTTTTGCTCTTGCTCACGCATCCCGTTGTGACTGAAACCAAGGGAGTTGAACGACTCCGATAGCTCTCGATCCGATTCGAAGGACKACATTGATATCGACATGGTCGTTGTAGTTCCGGTGCTGACATCTCCCTCGGATTCCATCATTTTGTCGAGAAAGAGGTTCGTGGCTCGCCGCCTCCGCTCCATCGCGTCTTCGTTGCCCCAGGATGCATTTCCGGTGCCCGGGTCGTCGTTTCCGGCCCGACCTGATCGCCCCGGTTCGCGGCCAGAGGATCTGCCTCTGGTTCTGCTCGGCAGAGGAAGTTCCAAGCCGGAGAGACTGCTGTTGAACCGGTGATCGATTTTCTCCTTGATCGATTTCTTTCGCCCGTTTGTGCTGCGTCCCGTCGGCGATTGTTTCCGCTGTGGCATCTGCAGAAACATGCTTGTGGTGCTGTTGCTCCGGCCCAGCGAGAAGCTGTTGCTGGTTCGCAGGCCCCGCTTGGTGCTCGGCAGCTTTCCCGAGAAGGACGAGGATCGAACCTGTAGCTTCTCGCGCTCCCGTTCGTGCGCCATCAGGTATCTATCGCTGTTGTCTCGCGCAATGTAATCCCATCGGCACTTCGGCTTGATGCTTTCGCGAGAAAATTCCGTGAACGAGTGATGCAGCTCTCGCACGCTGTGTTGCTCCGGCTTTGGGTTGTCCGGGACGATGCTTATCTCGCGTTGGTTGGTTTCATCATCTTCGAACAATACGGACAGAAAGGAAGAGAGACTGGATTCGCCCAGTGAAGAGATCCCAGCTCGCATCGCGTCGTTGAGGGGTTCGATTTCTATGGCAGAGTCCTCGACGATCTCACAATCACCGCTGTCGTGGCTTGGTTTCTCTGCAGCTGTGCTATCGCCATTTCTATCCAGTGCAGGCACCGGCAATTGGATTTTGGATCGAGGTGCTGGAATGGGTGAGGCAGCCATTATGTGCTTTCTCGGTTCGATTCTGGCAAGTAGCGCTGACTGCGACGTTTCCTGCTGTGGATTGTCCTCGTATTCTTGCACTGGTTGGTTGCTGTTACAGTTGCTATGTTTGTGTAAGAAAAAAAATTGCCTGAGTAATATTTCGTGCATTCTGCCCTACCTTGCGTACGGGACGTAGTACTACCGAAAAAAATAGACAGACGCATGTACGGAGGACACTGGTTCGTACTCGTAGTCGTGAACTCATACTTTGTGTTGGATTGGGTTCACAGGTTCTAAAACTGAGCTCAGTATGCATGCATTACGTCCAATGCTATGTTCGCTTTTATCCCTCGGTGGGACAAGTCTTGGGTCATCCCAATAAATCGTCAACCCCAAGTATTATTTTTTATTTTTAGTGCATCCCAAAACAAAAAATTAACCTATTGTCGTGTCATTACTGCATGTCATTCTTCGTAAGAACCAGATTCGAAAAAATCTGACGCATATGACTTTCAACGCCTCTCAATAAATAAAAATAATACAGTATTATTAATAATGACTTCAAACCTTATAAACGCTACGGGAAGATTGTTTCTTGGTCCTGTTGTATTCTTTATTTATGATTTAATGGCTTTCAACGGTTGTACTCGTAATATTTGCAACATCGCAAACCAGTGTGGATGCGAGACGATTGTCATGAATACAGCAGAAGAATTCAAAAATTCTAAAAAGAACACGAACTCACAGATGTACTTTCAACGGTTGAGACATGTCCACCGTATTCTTGCTAAAACAAAAAGCTTCTTAATAATGTTTATCGATCCCGACTTGTTTTGTTCTTACTAGTCTAATTACTACTAGTAGTACCGTAGTTCTACAAAAACCTGGTTCTTTCAGCGAAATTGAGACGCACCCATCCGGACTAGTAGTAGTACATACTACTGGTACTCATAACCTGCGAATGTACCGTACATACTCCTTAGTGTCACATAAAGGGATGTTTACATTAAAGAGTGAGGTTGAGCCTATTGCTCAGCACTTACTATTTACTCGTGATTTAGGTTGTACGTGTATTACTGGCTCACAATCTCCTGGGTTAAAGAATTTCTTGTTTTTGGACAAGAACCACTTGATTTGTCTGTTGATGTAAATATGGGGCTGGTTTTCACGACATTGTGTAGTATTTGTAGTAGTACGTCACACAAACCTGTACTATGGTTTTTTTTTTT